CGTTAGCCTAATAAAAATTGTAACATCTTTGTCGAGGCTTCAGAGAACGCCTAAGACGCCAAGATGGTTTTTTGTCGGATGCAATTTATAGTTGGTTCAGCAACATGTGCTACATATGCGCTTTTAAAGATTTATTGATTTATTTGCCGATGAGCACATTTTAGAAGATTATTCTAGAACAGGCGTTATGAAGTTCGATGGAAAGGGTCCCCACGGGGCCAATTCCCTTTTGTATTGGTATCTTTTTATTCCGTTTTTTTCCTGTCTCGCTAACTTCTAGAGTATAAAGATAGCAAATGAGGCCTGCAATTGCCCACACCGCTGAAACGTCTGTCCCTACGTGACAACTAGATTATCTGGGCCTTCGCCTAATGATTGACCTCGCTCTGCACTAAGCGTGAACACTGTCACTTACACTACTCCGTATGAAATTGATGCCGCTGCGCTCAATTCTGTTTTGCTCATGTTGTTCAGATATGTTCAGTTTCTATGCGAACGAGTTTTCGCTTTGCTCAGTGACGGCAACCAAATGTTTTATTCGAGACCCATGCGTTTAGGTGTTTTTGAGTGCAAATCATCTTGCTCTTTTGTTATTCTTTTGACGCTTTATCGCTTCTCGTGATTGCAATGCCACTGTTAGTTTATATTTCTCTCAGTAGGTAGATGTAAAGTAGCCATGAGTTCCCAGTTCCTCAGTTTTGCACAAAGTGATACCAGGCACTTTCTGTGAAGGTTTTCATCCTTAAAGTTATTCTATTAGTTCATTCTTTGTTTTCTGTTGTGCCTTCACTTTTATGGGTTATCTGTAGGGCGTGCACTCTAAAAATAGCGACCTCATGTGTTTTAGAAGGGTAATTTTCTTGGGAAATCGTTTATTTTTTGTTCACATTTGACTACATCCAATAATTAGCCTTGAAATGGAGCGCTTTTTATCATTTTTGGACATCATCTCTATTAATTATCGAGCTCGAACATCATCTGCACTGTTTTCGTCATTACTACACAACTAATTAACCTAACCGATAATTTTTCAAATAGTTCTGTCATTTAGGTGACGTGGTCGTTCGCAGCGAAACCCGCTCCACCTCACTCTCAGCCTCCAGCAAACGTGAAGCAGCACACCTCAGGTGAGATACTTTGACACTTGCGTCTTTTTTTTTCTGAGTGTTGTCGCTTCCTATTCCATTTGCCGCTACGACAATTCTGTTGAGTGACTTCTTTTTTGTTCGTTATGTTTCACGCATTTGAACGTAAAGGAATGTTCACCACCAGGCGGTTCACAATCGTGCTACTTAAGAGGTGGTAGAGTAACCTTCGAATACTTATATTTCCAATTTCCTGGTCACGTCCGTTATGTTGAGAAGTTTCACGAAATCGGTCTGAAATTTCACTCTCGCAAAAATAACTTCTATCAGTCCTCATTTCTCGCACCAACTTGCATCTATAATGGGAATCTTCGAGTGAAATTCCAAACTAGTATCTTGACTGTAATGCCTGATTCCTCTGAAAGGG